AACGTTAACGGAATAGGGTGCCATTCCCCTCACAGCTCCGTAGGCAAGCACCATGGTCTTGTAGCAGATGTGAGCCTCAACTGGAAGCCAGTGGAGTGTGCAGAGGAGCGGGGTGACATTAGAGAACTTGGGAAGGTTGAACACCAGACGGGCTGCAGTGTTCTGGATAAGTTGTAGGGGTTTAATGGCACAGGCAGGGAGCCCAGCCAACAGCAAGTTTGAAGTAATCCAGACGGAAGATGACAAGTGCCTGGATTAGGAGCTGTGCCGCTTTCTGTGTAAGGTAGGGTCGTACTCTGCGAATGTTGTAGAGCATGAACTTGCAGATCGGGTCACCGCTTTGATGTTAGCGGAGAACAACAGGGTGTTGTCCAGGGTCACGCCAAGGTTCTTTGCACTCTGGGAGGCGGACACAATGGAGTTGTCAACCGTGATAGCGAGATCATGGAGAGGGCAGTCCTTCTCCGGAGGAAGAGCAGCTCCGTCTTGCCGAGGTTCAGCTTGAGGTGGTGATCCGACATCCCACACTGTATGTCTGCCAGACCATGCAGAGATGCGATTCGCCACCTGCTTATCAGAAGGAGAAAATTAATTGGTGGTTCTTCTGCGTAGCAATGATAGGAGAGACCATGTCAGGATATGACAGAGCTGACTTGGTGTGTAGAGAGAATAGGAGAGGGCTAGAACTGAGCCCTGGGGGACACCAGTGGTGAGAGCACGTGGTGCGGAGACAGATTCTCGCCACGCCACCTGGTAGGAGCGACCTGTCAGGTAGGACGCAATTCAAGAGTGAGCAGCGCCGGATATGCCCAACTCGGAGAGGGTGGAGAGGAGGATCTGATGGTTCACAGTATCAAATGCAGCGGATAGGTCTAGAAGGATAAGAGCAGAGGAGAGAGAGTTAGCTTTAGCAGTGCGGAGAGCCTCCGTGACACAGAGAAGAGCAGTTTTAATTTGATTGACCAGTCTTGAAACCTGACTGGTTTGGATCAAGAAGGTCATAGATGAGAGAAATAGAAGGAGAGTTGGCTAGAGACGGCACGCTAAAGAGTTTTGGAGAGAAAAGAAAGAAGGGATACTGGTCTGTAGTTGTTGACATTGGAGGGATCGAGTGTAGGTCTTTTGAGGAGGGTGCAACTCTCGCTCTCTTGAAGACGGAAGGGACATGGCCAGCGGTCAAGGATGAGTTGATGAGCGAGGTGAGGTAAGGGAGAAGGTCTCCGGAAATGGTCTGAAGAAGAGAGGAGGGGATAGGGTCAAGCGGGCAGGTTGTTGGGCGGCCGGCCATCACAAGTCGCAAGATTTCATCTGGAGAGAGAGGGGAGAAAGAAGTCAAAGCATAGGGTAGGGCAGTGTGAGCAGGACCAGCGGTGTCATTTGACTTAATAAATGAGGATTGGATGTCGTCAACCTTCTTTTCAAAATGGTTGACGAAGTCATCCACAGAGAGGGAGGAGGGAGGGGGGAGGAGGAGGAGGATTCAGCAGGGAGGAGAAGGTGGCAAAGAGCTTCCTAGGGTTAGAGGCAGAGGCTTGAAATTTAGAGTGGTAGAAAGTTGCTTTAGCAGCGGAAACAGAGGAAGAGAATGTAGAGAGGAGGGAGTGAAAAGATGACAGGTCCGCAGGAAGTCTAGTTTTCCTCCATTTCCGCTCGGCTGCCCGGAGCACTCTTCTGTGAGCTCGCAATGAGTCGTCAAGCCACGGAGCAGGAGGGGAGGACCGAGCCGGTCGGGGAGGATAGGGGACATAAAGAGTCAAAAGATGCAGAAAGGGAGGAGAGGATGGTTTGAGGAGGCAGAATCAGGAGAAGGGAGAAGGATTAGCAGAGGGAAGAGATGATAGGATGGAAGAGGAGAGAGTAGCGGGAGAGTAGCGGGAGAGAGAGAGCGAAGGTCGCGACGGTACATTACCATCTGAGTAGGGGCAGAGTCAGTAGTGTTGGAGGAGAGCGAGAGAGAAAAGGATACAAAGTAGTGGTCGGAGACTTGGAGGGGAGTTGCAGTGAGATTAGTAGAAGAACAGCATCTGGTAAAGATGAGGTCAAGCGTATTGCCTGCCTTGTGAGTA